TAAGGTGTTGGGGTGGTCTAATCCGAGAACTTTCTCGCGTCCCTCCAGTGCACACCGATGCATCGTCTCTGATTCCCCGTACTTTCCTTGGTATTGCAGCACAAAAGCCAGGTTGTTGAGGCTTGTTAGGGTATCCGGGTGGTCATTCCCGAGAGCCTTGTCACGCACTTCGAGCGCATGCCGATTCATGGTCTCTGACTCATCGTACTTTCCGAGATCATTCATCACACTTGCCAGGTAGGATAAGCACTCCAAGGCGTCCGAATCATTCGGACCCAATAACCCCCCAAGATCCTCCAGCACATTCCGAAGTATCTCCTCCGCCTCCTTTGCCCTCCCTTGGTGTGCCCTCACCTGCCCCAGGAGCATAAATCTCATATGACTTTTATCTGAGCCTTGCCCCTTATTCTCCTCGCGAAATCTGATACATCGATAGATCTGTGCTTCTGCATTGTTGTAGAAACCCAAGTGTAGAGAGTACTCTGCCATGCGGAAACAAAGATCTTCGGAAATAATATCCATTCTGCCTTCGGTTACGGCAAGTGCATGTGGAATGAATGACTCGCAAATATCCCGGTTCTCGTGCTCATATTTAGGGAAAATTCGAGAAATAATTCTCAGTGCGTTGTCACTCCATCTATGCAGCTCTTCCGGCGATAAATAGGCCTGTATCGATAGCTGGACCAAGTGGTGAAGTTCATAAAATGTCTTATCTTCGTGTCTAATGGCGGTAACTAACGAGAATCCCAATAGTTTCCCCACAGCCCGACGGAATTCAACCGGATCATCCATCCCTTCAACCCCACATTCTCTCAGGAGCTGCTCGGGGATATTTTGGCGGTCAACGAATGCAATTAGTCGCAAGAGATGGCCGGCTGTCGGCATCTGCCTCGTAATTCGGTCAAAGGTGATGAAGTACGTACTCAAAATACTTCCTGTCACGTCCGACTCCCGGCAGAGATCGCTAAACTGCTGTGAAAGTAGCTTCACCCTTCGCTGATCGTTCTCCTGGAAAATTGACCAGTAGTCGGAGGGCGGTGTTTCAGTCTCGGCCATGAAAGCTGCAGAACCCACCACAGCCAGCGGCAGGTGATCGACCGAACCCAGGATCATGGCAACTACCTCCTCTTCCCCATTCTTCAAGCTTCCCCAACTACCAAAGTGTTCGAAAAACAGTGCCTTGGCCTCATCCTCGTCCATTTTTCCAATATCGATCCTCTCGCACTCTTGCCGAAATACAACTTGGCGAGATCTGGTGGTGAATATTACCGTGCCTCTCTGGCCTTGTGGCACAAACTTAGCGATGACACTGTTGCTACTAACAAAGTCCTCCTCGTTGTCGGCATTGTCAATTACCAGGATCCAATCACGGCTGTCTCTGCCTTCAAACCACCTCTTTATACTTAATAGGAATCCCTCTTCTTCCGTCTCAGCGCTAGCTAGAGGAATTCGAACATGTTGCCCGATAGCCCTATAGCCCTCTCTAAAATTTAACACTCCACTTCCTTGCACCCAGAAAATATCACAATCTCCCTCACTTGCACGCCGATAAACGTATTCTAGGGCAATCTGAGTCTTTCTAAGTGATGTTAGTAAACGCTCCGGATATAAAATTAATGACTGCATACCCAGCGCCTCCTAATCCATGAAGAGCGATCCTGTTGTGGCCATCACGCTGGCAAAGCCTCTTTACCGACTCAATGAGATGTTCGCGGCCTGTGAATTTACGGTTCCTGCTGTATGGAATCATCTGATAAAGCCTAGATGCTTCTTCCGCTTGCAATAGCACCTTAGCTCCCCGCGGAAAGCCCTCGAGACTGCTGGTCATACCTCTGTCCTCAGATCTAAACGTACATCCCTGATATATTGTTCCGACGTTGGCGGCATAGTTCAGGTGGCCCATATTTAGGTTATTATGGTTGTTGCTGCCAGAGACATTATGATCCCCTGAATTCCCGCTGAATTCCCCGCAGATTCCCGCTCGGATTCTCCTGTGGATACCCTTAGATAAGCACTTATTTTTTCTTTCAATTACGCAGACATCAAAGGCAAGGCGAACCCACTGATCCATTGTGTTTCTGGCTCACCTTATGACTGATTTCGAAAGTCGGCTGTGGAAGCAACGAGATGCGGCTAGCGTCACTGAAACGGGAAGTCTAACCTGGTTGTCACTTATCGAGGTTGTTTAAAATTGTATTTTGAGGTCCTAAAACAAGTCCACAACCGAGATATGGTACGGCAGCACGAGTAGTCACGGACCCAACCTTGGGTACGGAGCTTCTGAGCTCTGTAATTTTGAGGCAGCTGTGGGTATAATCCACGCTAGGGCAATACCACTGCAGTGGGTTGGCATGCGGGTGTTGTGTAGGTGTCCCGTAGAGCGACACCGTGTTGAGGCAGCGGGGAAGGATGATATTTTCTGTTCAGAAGTCCCAAGTCTTCGGCGCCCGGGCTGAGAAAAAGCGGGGCAAAAGCAAACAGGACTGTTTTCCGCGCCATAGTTGGGTCGCTGCAAGTTTGATCAATACTGGAATCACTTTAAGAATATGAGGTCACAATTTGGGTAGTCACCGGTGATCGGTGCATGCCCTGCTGCGGCATGGGAGACATGATGCGACAATAACTTTATGATAGGGAAAACCTTTCTCCATCCTCCCGCAGCCACACATTTTGAAACCCTCCATCAGCCGACTTTTCACGGAACATAGTTTACATACTCAAGTATCATTGAAGCATGATGCCGATATACGAACACCGGTAGAGTAGCCTAGCCCATCCTCGAAAGAATCCAAAGGATACCAGCCCCTTGCTTTCTCGGTTGAAGAGCGCTCTCTCTTCCAGGCGAATCACTCACATGATCTTACCGGAAAATTGATCAAGCTACGGAGCACGGAATTAGTGATAATTACCGTAGCCAAAGATAACACACTACAATACTCCTTCACTCCTTCACCATATGTTACCAATAATAATTCAGTGACACCTGTCAAAAATTCTGGACTTGCATCAGTGTGGATATTCCCGGAGGAATTTCCAATCCTAATGGTGCATGGGAATACGACTCAATGCCCCCTGCGGGCGCCGACGCTAAAAATGGTTAGCTCGATGTATGCAGCCACAACCCAAACCCTACGACCATTTATAGACTTCGGCCCAATGCATCGCGAGGGTGTAGCAAAAGCAGTGGAGTGTTTCAATTGGAAGTCTTCCCGCCCTCTAAGGATTTAGGAGAACCTAGAGTCTCTGGGAAAAATCCGTTATATTGCCACAGAAAATACATCCAAGTGGGTAATCATTTTTTATCGGGTTTACCGCCTCCCCCGTAGGTTGTGCCAGTCCCATTTACAAAGTTCTCGCGGATAAAAAGGGGTATCGTAGAGGTACCCTGGCGGCAGCCATTGTACCTGTACAAAAGATTGTCACGGATGCGAGGCCTAAATCTTGTCTTTATCAATAACACCCCCACTTATAGCTATCGGGTATGGGTATTTTTCTTTTTTTGTGTCTCACCCTATGGTATTGGGCACATGGTAGTCGGTTCGTGGTGTCACGGAGGATAAGAGGATATCTGGAGGGTTCTAGATTGTGGGAGGATGACGGAGGATCATGATTTGGAAGAAGGGTGTATTTTTTTAGAAATTTGACAATTTGTTTTGGTATCCGGACTTGTTAACTGTCTAGAGATATATATCCTCTTGTTCACTGCTCCGCTCTTTAGTGTCTTCCTTTAAGTTTTACCAACATTACGAGGATCTTAAAAATTTATTGCGAGATCTGGCCGAACCAATCTATGCCAATTCTGTTACTGGGGTGGGGATGTGGGAGACCGGACGGCTGAGAGAATAGGGAGGCTAAAGCTTACTGCCATCATAGGAAATGAAAGAGCCAACTCGGCATAACAGTTGCTATAGCGAGTAAGGAGCTTTAATAACTCTAATCTAACCTCGGACCGCCCGGGGACTTGTGTCCATACCCGAGTGCAATAGGATGTTGGGGTACCGTATTCACTACTATACTGGTGGGTTAAGATGGGGGGGAGATCAGTCACCGAGAGATCTTACCCGAGAATGGATCTAAGATTGATTCATAGAGCCCATAGAGATAAGCGAAGTGATTTAAATTAAAGAGCAACTAATGAGAATAGGTCCTTTTTGTCCTTCACCAAACATTGCGGCCGGAGTTCTAGAGCGCTTCAGCTCCGTCCTCCCTACCTCACCATAAAATACTCCCATTACCGCAGGATTAGCGGTTCGCCCGGGGTGCTGCCGGCGATGTGGAGGGTCAAGCTAAAGGGGAGGGTGTTTGTAGTAATCCAGGCAAGGATGAGGCCGCCTTCGTGCTGGTTGGAAAATTTGCGGACAGAAGGACTTAGCCCGAGGATATTACGGTATAAGGATATGGCCGAAGTAAAAAGCGCAGCCGAATCCGCGAGGTCCATTACTACCATGGACCAAGGTCGAGTGTCAATGTAGGACATTGGAAATAGATAGACAGCCCAGTAGGTGATATACTGCGTTATCTAAATTAGTGAGAACCGTCAGGAACTGGTACCGCACATCCAAATACGCCCCCCATCCTTGCTTTGCCATGGAAGCGCAGAAAAACTCCATAGCCAACTCCTCACTACCACGACAGATCCTTCCGGGGCTCTGATTTCGGCGCAATTTTCAGTTTCACAAGAGCGGCTTCCGATTTGGAAGTAAAGGCGTCTGCGGGTTCTCGCTAGATAATGCGGTAATGAAGTCAGAGGTGGATGGTGTTTAGTTGTCGTGGCTTCTGTTGAGGGGAAAAATCATGCCATGCAACCTCTAGATAACTTACCCGGACTAGATGGGTGCTGCACGCGTAGAGCAAAGCTGGAGATAAGGGTTGGATCAGGTCATGGATGCTGACCAAGAAATCCATGCAGGGTTCCTTCACGATTCTCTTAGTCATTGAGTTAGGACGGATGAACCTATACGAGGTAAACAGCCAAAAAGCAATTCCTGTCCAATAAATGCCTTCTTGCCGCCTTCTGGTATGTCGTGTGCAGGGGTGATAGTAATTTGTATGGTCAGCATTTGCAAGGCGACACAGGCCGCTCTGCCTGCCAGTTGATGCCTATAGAGGACAGGGACGCCGCGCGGCCGCAGAAGGCCAAAGCCAGACACACCTCGGCTTCGTAAGCCTGGATATTCCTAAGCATATATAGGCTTTATGAGAGCCTTCCAGCGACGGTGGACCTTGACATGTCCAGAGGATTGTAGTTTGTATGTATTTTGGTAACACTTATCGGAAAATGCCAGCAAATATCGTCAAGCACCAACCTCGCACTACTGCTATTTCCAATATCCTTCCCGCCCAATGAAATCCCCGAAGGTAGTTTCACCGACACCAAGGGAATCAAATAGCATTTCCACCAAGTTCGAAGAGATGAGAGTAGTGCTGATTCTGGGCCGGCTCATCCAGCG